CAGGGCCAGGAGCTGCTGACCCGGCTAAAGAATGTGCTTTGCTTGGTGTTAGCATTCCAGGATCAGCTTGGGAGGCCAAGGGCTTGAGTTGGCAGCAGAAGCCAAACACAAGGCAGAGAGAGGGGGCACTGGACCCCCCCACAATCTGGGTACATATTCCTCGTCTGTATTTCTTAGTCAGTCCGGGTCTCCCCTGGATTGAGGCAGAGCCAGCAGGAAGAAAATACTCTCTCACTTTTGGGGAGGGGACATTTATATGAACTGAAGCTGCCAGGCCCCGAGCCACAGGGCACCTTGCCATGAGCCCCACCTGCTGGGGAGCCTAGAACTCTGTACAAAACCATTCAAGGTTTCCTTAGACAGGGTAAACTGAGGCACTGGTCCAGGTCATGTGACCAGCAGACAGAGGAGCCCGTCTCTGACTGTCACTCAGGCTGTTGCGTTCCTCGTGTCATCCCCATCAACTGCACACCCACACAGCCTCTGGCCCAGGGCTCAGGGAAGGGAGAGCAAGGTTGTGGGTACGGAGTGTTAACAACAGGAGAGACTTGTAGTCATTGTAGCCCGTCATCAGTACTGGGTGACTTGGGCGCACGCACTAGGGGACTCCGGTAACTTCTAACACCTGCCTAAAGGCAGACGCAGACGAGCCGGGCTTTGAATCCCCCAGAAGGGGGTTTACAGAACCTCAGAGACCAGGAAGAGGAAGTGGGACAAGGAATGGGAAAGGAGGAAGACCTTCGTGCTCTGTCATTAGCAGTGAGGTGAGGCATCCTTTGCAAACCTCTGACTGGAACCCCTAGAATTAAAAACTAGCTGGGCATCCACCCCTCAAACCCCCAGCACCCAAGCACCATATTTAGGAGCTTAAATATCAGCATGTGGCGTAGTTAACAGGCCCTTCTTTCCCTCCCTCCCCGTGTCCCCCAGCATAGTTCTAGAGCCTTGGGCAGTTTCAACAATCACCCATTAGCTCTGAGCTTATCTTCACTGTCCTCCTGCCTGGGACAGCTCCACAGAGCTCAAGTGTCTGTTAAGTCCTTGCTGTACAGCCACAGTGCTACGCGCTTGGATCTCCGCCAGGACTGGTGTGGAGGGTGGGGGGTGGTGTGGAAAGATGGAGGGCCAGCAAAAGCCCAAGCAGACAGATAGGAAACTATTTGATACTACAGCAAGCTCACGAGAGAGACATGTGACATGTTTCATACATGAACTCAGAGCATCAGGAGCCTGGGCAAACCAGACTCCTCACCCAACCAAATCGAGATGGCAAACCGCCATTTCTGGTGCCATGTTTGGGATCCTGTAGAAAGGAACAGATTCTTTGTTTTTCTGTGTCTTAGCTTACTTATCTACACAGTGGGGATAATCACATGCTGGTCCCTAGTGATGGAGGGGTTCACCGGGACAGGACAGCTAAGGCTGTCGCATTCCTTGTAGGACTTGCTAGAATTTTAGACTGTAACTCACTAGCTCCGTTCTGTATTTCTGGAACTTCTCTGGGCCCCACAAGGTAATGTAAAACAGCACAGCCACGATGTCAGGCTGAGCAGGTTTTATTTGCCTCCTGCTAGGCTACACTACTTCCTAACTGGTGATACTATATGTAGGATACTTACAACTCAGGTTGTTTCAACAAATGGTAGGTAGACATCACTATAACCGCTGATAGTCAGCCCACAAGCCTGTCAATTCTCAGTTTGGCCAGAAGAGGGCAGCTTTGAGCCAGACAACTCAATTTCTTAGACTATGTCGTTTATCCAGACTCAATGGATTCACAAGTCCTAGTTTTGGAGAACCAGCTCTAACAGGCTGGGTCCCGTTCACACAGTCCCACCAGCCACTGAGAGGGCAAGGTCCACGCACCCAGGCCTTACTGTCCACCACAGAGTGGGGTTAAAAGGTGACACAGGACCATAACTCATCTGAGCCCTAAGGAGAAGGCAGGTTAATGACCAATGTCTCTGGCTGGAGGCCCATGGTGTGCTGAGCCCGCATCTGCTCTTCTCCCTGAGTAAAGGGGAAGAAGTTGAGCATCTGTACCAAGACAGTCCTGGGGAGCAGACACTCCGGGTCCTTACGGCTGGCAGTTACACAGACAGCAAGTCAATTGACTTTCTCTTCTCCTCCCCCCCTACACTCCCATTTCATGCCCGAGACTAATGTAAGTCTCATTCACACCTCAAGTCCCTTCCCTTGAACTCCCGAGCCAAGTAAGACCCAACTTTTCTGCCCTGTACTTCATGCCACCTTGAGGGGCCTCCTGCATCCTCCCAAAGATTATAGGGTAAACTCTGCCCTTAACTTATTTCTCTTGTTAAACGGAAAACTTCCTGAGAGTGAGGAGCTAATTATTAGTCATCTCCCCAAGATGTGCCTGACACCTGCCTTCCCCACGCCTGCCCCACCCCCCACCCCCGCAGCAGACCCATCTGTGCTCCTGCCCACACCTTGCACTCAGCACATGTCACAGTATCTCTCTCTGAGGTGCTCCCGCATCCCACCCAGTCCCCAGCATGGGACACATTCAGGCTACGGAGTGCAGGAGGACAGAAGTGGACATTATTCCCAGTGAGTCCATGGAAGGCTTGTTTTCCTCAAGGGCCTTTAAATAGATAGCTGGTGATTGTGTGAGCGTGAGAAGTGCCTCTTCTCAGGGCTGGGGTATGAAGTAGATAGGACTAAGAGTGGCTCCACTCAGCCTAGACATCCCGGCATACCCTGCCCAAACGTCTACACCCAAGATTCGAGTCACCGAGCCACCTCCCGAGCCTCCCTTCACAGAGTAAAAGTTGAGTTCCAGTACTCGGTTGCTCTATTCGGTAGTTCTTAAATAGTTTTGTTGTTGTTTATCTTATGTGTGTGGGTATTTTGCATACATACATACATACATCTGTGCAGCACAGTTGTGCCCGGTGTCCTGGGAGGCCAGAAGAACCCACCAGATCCCTTGGAACAGGAGTTGTAGCTGGTTGTGGACCAGTGTGCAGGTGCCGTGAATTAAACCCTGGTCCTTTGGAAGAGCAGCCAGTGCTCCTAACTGCTGAGCCTTCTCTCCAGCCCTGTTCAGTACTTCTGATGGCCAGGTCTGTGTGTTTGCCTCTGCTGTGCATCCATTTTTGTCTGTGTGAATCCACTGGCATCTTGATCTGCTCAGCAGCACACAGGTGTTGGGGATGTTTAGAAATGGTGATACATATCTAGATCAAGACATTTTGTTTTGTTGTTTGTTTTTCGAGACAGGGTTTCTCTGCATTGTCCTGGCCGTTCTGGAACTCGATCTGTAGACCAGGCTGGCTTCAAACTCAGAGATCTGCCTGCCACTGCCTCCCAAGTGCTGGGATTAAAGGCGTGCATCTCCACCACCTATTTTAGATCAAGTTTGAAAGGGAACCTCGGGTTCCTCTGAATAATTGTTCATCTTATGGGGAAATCTTGATCCAGCTAGCTATTCACCATGAGTCCTTCAGTCTTGGCTTTGAAAGCCCTGTTTTTAGGGAGTACCTACAAAAAACTAGCCTCCTTTCATCTGGGCTAGCGGCTCCCTCCAGTCCTTATGTCAGTCGAGACTAGAACCCAGGTCTCCCAGCCCGAGCTGCCCTCCTGTTATGATGCTTGCTTTTCAGAGCCCTCACCCGTCTGCATGGGCCTCCAGGACCCAGCACAGATTAGTGGTGTAGATTGCAGGTCAGAGGAACCTTCTCCTGGGTCTTTCTATTTTCACGGATCACTCAGGATGAGAAGGCAGGCTGGCAGAAGATAGGACACCAGAGCAGCTATATAATTCGTGAAAGAACCAGATTCAGAGAAGCTGGTTCCTGGTGGAGCTTCTCTGGCTGTAGAGGTCTCCAAGGCAGCATGGAGACACCCGTCATTTCCTCTGCAGAGACTCAAAAGGTGAGCAGAAGTAGAAAACTGGGCAGATACCAGATTTAACAACAAAACTTGACAATTGAGAATGTGGTCCTGTCTGATTCTCTGCCAGCCCTGAAGACGCAGCTGGGGATGCAGAGGAGGGAGGATAGGGGTGTCCTCTTGTCCTATCTTCTCGCCTCTCTAGGTCAGAGTCGGAATCCCAGCTCTGTGGCTTTCTTGCCAGCTGTGTGGTCTTTGGCAGAAGTACACTCACTCTCTACAATAGAAAAGAGGGTTCTGGACCTAACCTTCCAGGTCTCTCTAATGGAGCCAAATCTCATGCCCAACCGCCTGCTCTTCTGGCTAAAAGTCGCAGGAAGACACTCTGGGCCCAGGAAGCAAGCTCCTTACAGATGTAGGAGCACATGGTACTAAGTCCTGGAGTGCGATGCACTATTTTCATGAATGAATGAAAATCCACAAAGATGACCACTTCTTGAAGGAACCCACTCAACCCTATAAATCCTCCCCCCTCCCTTTTTTTTTAAAATTTTGCAGAAGAGGTAAAGACTTGGCCTGTTGGATTCCAGAATCCATTTAAGATTGATGGGACCCAAGCAGCGTGAACTTGGACGCAGGGCAGCTCTCCACCCATGCTTAGCTGGAGTCAGCCTTCACCCCATTCCATCTCCTTATTCCTTTTACCTTTAACCACCCCCCCCACCGCCCCCAGAAGCTATCAAAGGGCTTTATAGACTTTTGGCTTGGGAGAAGCAATTTCCTGCGTGTGGAGAAATACTTTGGGCCCTTCCAGTACCCTCAGGTTGTCCCTTGACAACCGAGAGCACTGCACAGTAGGACAGGTTGGCGCCATTTAGAGGCGAAAGCAATCCAGAGAGCCTTCAAACCGAAGGACCAGCTCTTCAGTAGTAAAACTCGGCTTAGCCTCCTTTCTGGCATTCCTGGCCCTCGGGCCCAGGTGGGCGGGGCTCCATTCACACCTTTCCGCGCCTAGCCAAGGGGAGGAGGCGGGGCAGGGGCCAGTGAGCCAATGCGGGAGACCCTGGTCACGAGTCGCCGGCAAGCGGGCCAATGGGACTCGGGGGCGTGGCCAGAGTCTTCTCCCTCCCCCCCCCCCAACGTTTTAGAGCAATTTGGGACCGCGACGCTTTCTAGCGCGCTGGGGTCCTGCGGTGACCTCTGAGCTCGCGGCTCTCGGCGCTGCTGCTGCCGCCCGACCCCCGTCCGCCTCGCCGCCCCGCACAATGGAGTCGGTGGTCTTCCCCCGGCGCGCGGGCCAGGCTCCATCGGCCTCCGCCCTGGCTACCGAGCGCGCCCGGGTGCTGGCGGACGGGCTCATCAAGTCACCCAAACCGCTGATGAAGAAGCAAGCGGTGAAGCGGCACCATCACAAACACAACCTGCGGCACCGCTACGAGTTCTTGGAGACCCTGGGCAAGGGCACCTACGGGAAGGTGAAGAAGGCACGAGAGAACTCGGGACGCCTGGTGAGTGCCCCTCGCAGCGCCCGGCTCCCGGGAGCTCACAGCGCGTCCCTTGCGGTGTCCTCGGCCGGCCGGCCGAGCTGCCAGGAGCGCGCAAACCTTAGCAGCACCAGATGCCTGTCGTTTGAGAAGATGGTGCTTAACTTGAATTTTTTCACTGGAACAAACTTGTACGGAGTAGAATGGAAGGAGGAAGTTGAAAGCACCAGATCTCAGTAGATGGATGAGGTGTTGGAGAGCTCTCTAAACTGACTTGACACGGGGTCCTTTCAAAGTTTCGTTATGATGGGCTTTGATTCCGGGCTCTGGTGCCAGGTCCACAGGCCTTTGGGGGAACTTGTCCTGGCGATTTCATGCGTGTGTGATCGCTTTAGTAATCTGTAACTTTAAGCAAGTTCCTTAATTTCTGTATTCTGTTTCCTCTTCTGCAAAAACAGAGGACACAGACCGTCTCACAAGCTGCTTGGGAGAGTGAATAACATACAAACGAGAATGCACGTGGGTCCTGATCACAGGTCTTGTACTGAGAATGGGTGCTTATATCTGTAAAGTGCCCCCCCCAAAAAAAAAGCATAGCAAATTTACCAACAGTAGTTATCCCACTCCAGTTCCATGGGCCTAGCTAGGCATTAGCTGGGTACTTGTTTAAAATGCACAGTCTTTCATTTGCCACCAAGCAGAGTGTACTATAAAGGTCTATAATTCACACTGTAGCAAGCTTCGGAGCAGGTGGTTTAGGGATTATGTTTTGCCAGATCCAGTGAGTGCTGGTTGTGTGTGTGTGTGTGTGTGTGTGTGTGTGTGTGTGTGTGTGTGTGACCATGGTTTGCCCTGTTGACTATGGCAGTGGTCCCCTCCCATAATTGTTTGCCTTTGCAGTCAGTAGCAGGTTTGAAATTCAAGAAGTCATTTCATTGGTGAAGGAGAGTGGATGTTGGAGAAAGGAGTGGATTATGGCCCCATCAATAGGTGCAAGTATGTTTTTCCTGCTAAGGCCTGGCACAGTCCCCAGTTGCCCGCTGCCAGGTTACAGCTATTGGGCAATCGTGTACTTCCTGGCTTTCCTTTCTTTCTCTTTCTATAAAGTGCCAGGGTCCTAGAGGCTCCAGGCCTGAGATGGCTGGGCCCGAGCTTTGTCAGGGGTTTAGCTTGAAAATAGTTGCTTGTGGCTTGTGCCCTGCGTCTCTTGTTGTGGGAGAATTGGGTGGAGGGAAATAGAGGGGCTGAGAAACTGAGATCTAAGTTCAGAGACCCCATCAGCTTTTTTTTTTCCCACTGAGGTCACTGCCTTACACACACACACACACACACACACACACACACACACACACACACACACTGGGGGGGGGGAGAGAACACATGCAGGCCTCAGTGGCTTTTACATCAAAACTGAGAGAATCCAGAAGGAACTCCCAGGTTCATGTGTCTTGCTGTGTACAAGCAGCCAAGATCAGCAAATGTGAGCTCTGTTCTGAAACTCCCCAAGCCAGACCACCCAGGATTGCTGTTGAGAGTTTGCTCAGGGTCCCCCCACTTTCTTGGAAAGCAACTCTGTGCTGTGCTAATGATTTCTCAACCCTGGAGCAATGCCCTCATCCCCACCCACCCGTCCCTATATCTTGACTGTTCTCCTTCAAGAGAGACCTGATGCGTCAGCTCTGTCAGTGGGGGAGAGGGACATGGGGTTGCTTATGTCTTCCCCAGATGAACTGAGATTGGTAATAGGAGGAGTTCACTTCACAGGGAAGCCTGCTGGGTGATGGCCAGCTCGATTCCCACTCTCCACTTGCAGAGATGGTTAGGAGGGTCCCATGGGATGATCTTCAGGGGCGGCCGGGGAGGTGGGACTAACAACTGCTCCAGGATGGCATCAGAGGAAAAACAAATATTTGCTCTGGATCTCAGACACATTTCTGGTATCCAAACGACATTTCCTCCTGCCGAGCATCCCAGCTCCCCGACCCAACCCCTCTCCCTGAAGAGGGAAACATCTGCTAGGGGCCCACCAAAGCCTGATCTACAGGGAAGTCTCCGTCACCTCTAAGGGGTTGCCATGAGGGGCAGGAAGGGAGCCCAAGTCTCAATGTTTCTGCTCCTTATACATTTTCAGTTGCTCAGTGGGCTTCAAAACATTGGGAAGCGATGCACAGAATCCGCTCCTCTGGTTGACAGATGAGAGAACTGAGGCCCAGAAAGGGGAAGTGATTTGTCTTCTGGCTGCAATGGCAGAGCTGCAGCATGAGCTCCAGACTTGTCCACCCGAGGTCTTGGATGACCAAGTGCTGAGTCTTGGTCTAGAAGTTAGCTTTGAGATGAGCCTGGGCTTGCCTTGGTGCTTTGTCATCCCATCAGCTAGCACCGGCTGCCTCCCCAGCTCTCCAGGCCATGTTTACAGTGGGAGAAGCCACTGGGAATCCCCCCTTCTCAATACTGGGCTGAGGGACTGTGGGTGAAGGAAGGACACTACATTCCTGCAGAGTGTCAAATGGTGCTTCCCATGTGCTTACCAGATGCGTGACCTCTGTTCCTCAGTATCCTTATCTGCAAAATGGGGATTATAATAATTCCTGTGTCATAGGTTTCTCCTAGGACTGAATAAGACAATATCTGTACATCTTAGCACAGTGACTAACACGCATGGGACATTGCTCCAAGAAGGGTGGCGGCATTGGCCTGGGTACTCCTATTCTGGGCCTCTCCTGCCACAATAAGGAGCATGGATTGTGCTTCAACTCTTCTTGAGTTGAACCACTATGGTCTCTGCTTTGTTCAAAGCCCTCATCTCTCATCCAGCCAACTTCAGAGGACTCCTGCTGGCCAGCAGCCAAAGGCTTGTTGGGCAAGATGCTGCCCTCCCAGCTCCTCCTGCACCTGCCTGCTCAGCAACAGGAGGGAGGCTGCAGGCGACTCTTGTCCTTGGGCTCCAGCCAAACCACAGAAAAGGGCTGGGCAGGGAAGCTCCTTGCTCAGGAACCTGGCAGAGTGGGCTAGCAGGAGGCTAGAGGAGGTGACATTATATAGAACTAGGGGAGAGATGGCCCAAGTTACCCATAGAGCCTTCCTGGTTCTTGCCTAGTTCTTGATAGAGTGGCACATTCCCACTGCTCAGCTGGGGCTGCCTCTAGCCTAACCTCTCCTGCACTATCTAAGTGGGTCATCATCCAGCTCCTTGTCTGCTTCCCAGACAGCATCTTCCCTATGAAAAGGCCAGAGAGGAGTCAAGGATGTTGGCTATGATCAGAGATGCCCAACTGGTACCATCTCTCTCAGCACCCAGAACCAGCGTCTCTACTCCCCACCTCCCTTCGTCTTCTAAAACTTTCTGACCACCTTCTCTGGGAGAGAGGAGCTATTTACCAATGGGGCCTCAGCACCACCTCCTCGGGCTGTTGGCAGAGCGGGCATGTTTTAAGTGGGAAAGAATGGCACACACAATATGGCCTATGGCAAGATCTGGACAGTCCCTTCTCCAGGGATGGGGGCAGGGCTGGACATCTCCAAGGAACTTTTGTCTTCTGAGATACTAGTTTGTCCTCCATTGTGGCCCTGCCCTGTTGATGGAGGAACTTTGGAGAAGTCGGTTTATCTTTCTGAAGTGTTCACTGCTTGCAAATCAGGTTGGGGAATTAGCTTTCCTGCCTTTACCAACTTGCACAACTCCAGAGACAAGAACATTCATTGGGATGATTTCAGCGGGAATTATGCTCTGACAGTTAACATGGCCAAGAGCGGTGGCCTTGCACCTTCCTGACTTTGCATCGACCCATTTCTGAAGAAGCTCTGCACAGAGTACTGGATCATGGAAGGGGACTTACAGCTCCACCCTCATCTGCCTCGAATGTTCTTCTCGCCCTTTCCTAGCCTACTGTCTTAGCTGAAAACCTCACTATCCTTCCTGAGTAAAGAAAACCATTTATCCTCTCCAAGCTCTTCCACAAGTGAGGGCGTTAAAACTAGACAGCCCAGGGGTGGAAAGAGAGCTCAGCAATTAAGATCACTTGCTGCTCTTGCAGAGAACCTGAGTACACATGTGGCTGCTCAGAACCATCTGTAACTTCAGTTTCAGGGGATCCAATGCCCTCTTCCGACCTCCATTGGCATTGGATGCATGTGGTACACATACACGGCACATAGGCAAAACACCCATTTGCATAAGATAAGAATAAATTAATCTAAATAAACAACCTAGACAACCCAGTAGCCAGATTATCCTAGTTTTATGTGCCTTGAGTTGCATGGCTTGAGACAGACAAGTATGAATCGGGCACCTGGGTCCATAGGGCCCACTCCGCTGGGCATTGTTTGTATACAAAATTATCATTGGGCTGGTTTATCCCTCTGCCTCAGAGTGTGGTGGCCATGTAATAAATTGATCATATGTGTGTAGTCTGCAGAGTAAAGGGGACAGGGTTAATAATTGTGTCAGGGATCGGAAGTGACGGCTCAATGATTAAGAGCACTTGCTACTCTTCCAGAGGACCCTGTTTGGATTCTTAGCACCCACACTGGTTCACAACCATCCACAACTCCAGTTCTGGGGAATCTGCCAGCCTCTTCTGACCTCCCTAGGACCAGGCACACACATGGTGCACATACATATACATGCAAACAAAACATGTAGACGCAAAATTAATAGGAAAATATATTGTGTCGGGACAAAGACCCTGGCGTGTGGCCATCTTCCCTCTGGGTTTGGGTACCTGTCTTTAGTTTGTAGCCTCTTCCTAGCTTTAATCAGCTTCTTTTTATTCTAAGTACAGTTGCCAATTACTTTGCAGGAACAAAGGTCCCTAGAAATTAGTTCTTGTAACTGAGGTGGACTCCACCCAGGCCTGAGAGGGAAGAGAGCGGGGAAACCCTAGCTGGTCACTGGTTCCTTCAGGCAAAGATCACCCAGGGACTTAGCCGATAGGTATTTGTAAGAGTGTTCACTAGTGTATAGGTGTGAAAGGATTTTTGCACACAGGGCCCTTTCTGGCCTTGAGTGGTACTCTGTGTAATTTACTTTGACATACTAGGCTAGGCTGGGAGAGTTTAGAAACGGTGGCCTAGCCCCAGGGAGGCAGTGCTGAATCAATCAGCCCTTGTTTTGGGGACTCATGGAACACTGATATCATGTCTCTGTCCTTGCAAGTGCTAGACAGGACCTCTTAGGACCCAATGTGGATAACTTGGGGTTCAGCAATGTATTCCTCGCCCCCCTCGTGTCTTGTAGGAGATTGAAAGCGGGAAGAAAATTAGAATTTCAGGCCTTTTAAGGTTAGAAGAATGGGTCTTGAGGTTTTACTTGTGTGCCCACTGACCACACCAAATATTCGTAGCACCCTCAAAATCTGTTTTGGAAACTAACTTCTTTTGACTCCCACTGCTTTTAGGGCTCTGTCTCTAAGCCTGTGGTGTTATCTCAGTATCCCATACCCTTCTGTATACACAGCTATGCATCTAACACCTGCCTCGTCTTTGCCTGGATGTCTTTCAAGCTCCCAGGCATTTGTAGTTGTCTAGATAGCGATGTGTGTGTTTACATACGACTGTTTTTCCTGCCTACGAATACATTTTTTTAAAAACAGGTCTTTGTCTCTGAAGAGTTCACAGCCCTTTACTCATTGTCTGATTTTATGAACAAAGACTTACAGAGGAGGGAGCAGGCTGTGGCCTCTCTCCTTCAGGGTGAGAAAGTGGTGTGGAGAAGAGGTGTGTGGGAGTATTGCTCATTGTCTCCTAGTTGAAGGGATATTCAAGGCCCGTGCCCTGCTCCAGTTCTGCCCTGGGGTTTTCTGCCTCGCTCTGTAGGGAGTTAGAGCAGACCGTTGCAGCCGGGTGCTCACATCTGCAGCATCCCCCTGCGCTGGGCCTCTCGGGGATGAGGTTCCATGGTGACCATCTGCCATTGTGATCCCTGCCCTGCTCTGGGAGGGTGAGAATGGGCCTGCTCCCTTTCAACAGTTGGGGCAGGATGGAGTGGAGGGCACGCCATCTGTGGCCCGTTGCCGGGGTGACCGGGCGGTGGGCATTGTGAGCAACTCCTCTGACAGGATTAGGGCTATTCCACATTCTTGTCAGTGGGGAACACAAGCCGAAAGAGCCCGCTGTCCCGAGAGCAGAAGCCATTGTCTACCTCCAGAGCCCGTGAAAGGGTGGATTAGAGCCCCGCCCCTTGGGCTGGGGTTTCCTTTCTGTCTCCTTTTGAATCCAGAGGGGAGGCCGGCCCTCCTGGGAAATTGAATGAGGAGCTGTTTACCTCAGTCTGGACCTTCATATTTCTCATTACTTGTGTGTGTGAAGAGGAAGTCTTGTGTTTACCACTCTGTTGGTGTCCTTGGTCAGAACATGCCAGGAACTGACTAATCTGGGACACCCAACCCTCATCCAGACTCTGAGGGCCCCTGGCATGTGTGCAGCTCACTTCACAGACTCAGAGGAGCAAACCCCTCAGACCACTCAGTTCAGTCAGTTTTGCTCACAGCAAGGCAGCTGAGGCTCTGAGAGGGTAGGACTTGCCAGAAGCCTCCAGGACAGAATCTGAGAATCAGGCACACCTGGCTCTATTGGTTTCCCATTAGTCACTCTGACCATGCCTTGTCCTAGAGTCGCTACTGGATGTCATGGATCAGGGAGACTGAGGTTCTTAGGTGCTGACCTGCAGGTCCTCAGCTTCCTCTGTACCCACCCTTCCTGAGGCCATCACACACCAGCTGGAGGGGTTTAGGCATTGTATGTCCCATCTTTACAGAGCAAGACACCAAATCACAGAGGACTGTCTATCTAGCTGTTTTTTTACTTGTTGGGAAGGAAGGGACATTCCTTACCTGGACTTCAAATACTGTTCTGTGGAGAGTGGTTCCTTTGGTGGGTTTTTTTTTTTTTTTTTTTTTTTTTTTGGTGATCTTTTTGAATTATGGAAAAATGCATGTATAAAACTTGCCATTTTAGCTCACTAGCATACTGAACATATCCACAATATTGTAAATCATCACAGTATAAAATAGCTTTCTTTTTAAATGTTTTGTGTGTAATGTGTATGAGCATCTTCTCTGAGTGTGTTTGTGAATCTGCAAAGGGCATCTGATCCCTCAGAACGAGATTGTGAGCTATCATGTGGGTGCCAGAACTAAACTCACATCCTTTGGAAGAATAGCCAGTGCTCTTAGCTGCTGAGGCATCGCTCCAGCTTCTAAAACTTTTTTACCATCCCAAATAGAAACTCTGCAGCCATTAAATAATAACACACCCCCTCATAACACCCTTTAGCTCTATACTCCTGGTAACTTTTGTCCATTTTCTGTCCATACAGTCGTTTGTTTTAGTACCCCCATAAAAGTGGATCACATAATATTTGTCACTCTGTGTGGCTAGCTTATTTCACTGAGTGTATTTTCACGGGTCAGCCATCCTATAATAGGTATCAGAATTCCATTCCTTTTCTGACTGATTAACACCAAATTTTGCCTAGCCATTCACCTGTTGATAGGCATTTTGGTTGTTGTAATTTTGGGCTAGCAAATGGTTGTGTATACCAAAGTGGAGTGTGGGACAGAAAATGGACTGAACTCAGAATCAGGTTGCCACTTGTGCTAGTCAGTGTCTGTGGCTTTAAGGAAAGCATTTCGCCTCTTGGGTTTCCAGTTACTTCACTTGTGAAAGAGAGTCAGGATGCTTTCTTTCTTTAATTCCCAGAGTTGGGAGGACCAGTTTGTTTACTAATGCAGTAAACTTCTATTCACGACTAATATGTGCCAGGCCCTCTGTCTGGAGTCAAGGACTCAGTGCCGAATAAAACCATCCCAGGTCCTTGTCCTTGGGGTGAACTTTGCATATTTGACTTGCAAACCCCAAAGTGTCAAACCACACAGGTATAGGTTGTTACATGTCTTACTCATTGGTAGACTTTGAAAGTGAGGCCATTGGCAAGGGCTGCTTCCTCCTAAATGGGCCACACTGGACCCAAGACCATCTCCAGATTCCTGTCACCTGCTCTGGTAAAGGTGGGTGGCTTCTCTTGGTGCATTCTGTGGTTTGTGTTGCAGCTGCAGGCAGAGTACCGGGGTCAGGGCTCATGGAACATCTTCAGGGATGCTTCTGCCTACTAGACCTTTCTCCTTAATCTTGGGCATCCTCTCTTCCCAGGTGGCCATCAAGTCAATCCGGAAAGACAAAGTCAAAGACGAGCAGGATCTGTTGCACATAAGGAGGGAGATTGAAATCATGTCTTCGCTCAACCACCCCCACATCATTGCCATCCATGAAGGTATAGTCGTAGGACGTTTGGAACTGGGAGCCATGAGTGTGTGTGTGTGTGTGTGTGTGTGTGTGTGTGTGTGTGTGTGCGTGCGCGCACACGCGCGCGCACGTATGCAGAAGTCAGAACTGCCAATACATGAACCCTCTGGTACATGCCTGTAATCCAACTGTGATGCCTATAGCCTCAGCCCCAGGCGACTTAAGACGAATATAAATATAAATTCGAGGCCAGCTGCGTAACAGGACCCTCCCTTTAAATAAATGCATAACTTAAATAAAGTTCTTTTAAAAAAAGAAGTAAGAATGGTAAAGGCTTTAGAGTTGCAAAAACTGAATGCAAAACCCTGCCACATAACACAGAACTGGGCCTTGATTCCCCTTTACAAAATGGGATAGTCCCATTCCCATCACAGGGTAATTGCAAAAATCCAACCGTATGGTTATCTTTGAGTACTCTGTAAGTGGAAAAGCTGTAGATGTGTTTGTGCATTTGTTGTATGGCTGGGGTCCCGCCTAGAATCCCGTACTTGTGCTGAGTGTGTGGGTGCTGTCCATCGCCCGCCTGTTAGCCAGGCCTCCTAGTTACCCTGTGCCCCTGGATCACTGGTGCGATGGGCTCACTCTGCCTCTTCTTGTTCCTCTGGGCCTCCTCTCCTCTGGTATCAATTCTTCCCTCCAGGAGTAGTGGGCAGGCCAAGCTTGGTGATTGGCCGTGTGTGTGTGCACACGCCCTCACATGCATGAATCTGTGTATATATGAATTCTCTCCATCCCCATTGTCTATCTGGGTCTGAGAACTGAGCTGATGCTCAGGGTGTGTGTGTGTGTGTGTGTGTGTATGTGTGTGTGTGTTGATGGTGCAGACACAGGACATTAATGTTATCGGGTGTCTGAAGGGTTCCTCCAGATTCATCTTCCTGTCTCTATAGGGCTTTAGGCGTTGGGGTTGGGGAAATGCTGGGACTGACTTCTAATCTATATGTCCCCCAGAATGCACGGTGCTGGCTCCTTATCTTTGTTTCCTAACATAAAGGTTGCTTATAAGCTGAGAATCACACGAGTGGAGTCTGAGTCAGGCACACCTAAGAGCCTGGGTCACCCTGTTCGCCTGCAAAACAACACTATAAGCCTTCTTCCGGCCTTGTAGCTGACATCTGGGAGTGGGGACTCATCCCTTAGCTCCTTCTCAGAGAGCAGTAGCGCTGCCAAGCAAGCCAAACTCATAGGACCCGTTTAACACGGGATGCAGCATGTTCTGACACACCAGCTGAAGGGCCAGTTTGATGAGCCAGATCTTTCCTGCTTTTCTGGAGGACCGGGGCCAGGGCACTGCCTGGAGTGGTGAGACCCCCCCTCCTACACATGGAGGTGGGCTAACTGGAGTGGGCGACCGCCAAGAAGCCAGGCAGCCAATTAATTACCCCATATTTATCGACGGCCTCTGTGTCTGTCAGAGGCCATATGCACTCTGGCCGTAGCCTGGGCACTCCGGACTTGATTTGCTAGTCCTAGAAGATGCTGAGTCTTCAAGCCTCTTCTCCCGCGCTTCTTCGCTGCCCTGAGGCCCCCGGCCCCTGTAGCGGACATTCCAGAGGGAGGTCTCGTCTGCTTTGAGGCTGTGGAAGAGACTGAGGCCCATGGTGGGACAGTGTTCTCTGGGAGGCCTGACATTCTCATTTCCCCTCTCCAGTGTTTGAGAACAGCAGCAAGATCGTGATTGTCATGGAGTATGCCAGCCGGGGCGATCTGTATGATTACATCAGTGAGCGGCCACGGCTGAGTGAGCGTGACGCCAGGCATTTCTTCCGACAGATCGTCTCTGCCCTACACTACTGCCACCAGGTGAGTACCCACTGGTGTCTCTGGGGCTCTTAGGCTGGTTTAGACCAGAAAGGCTTCTGGACTCTCAGGCCAAGGCATGCTGATATCTCTGACTTCGTTCTCTTGATTGTGAAAGGGCCTGTGATTTCTTGGACCATGTCCGTGAATTTATGTGCTCCGGCCTGCCTGGTCTCAACTCTGTTAATTCCATTTTCTAGACTAGGTCCCTTGTTCCCCCTTCCCTTTCCTGGTGATGTTCCCTGACTCGGTTCCCTTCCCCTTTTAGAACGGGATTGTTCACCGCGATCTCAAGCTGGAGAACATCCTTCTAGATGCCAAAGGAAACATCAAGGTGAGCATCACTTCTGGTTTCTCTGTCCCACCCTAAGTTTTCTGTTCTGCCTCCAGTCAAGTAGCTCTGAGTGCTTAGGGGTCCCTGAAGTTAAGTTGAACAAACCCTGGACCTCAGTCATCATCCATCCCAACACTTCCTACATGGGCACCGAGTCCCTAAAAGGAAGATTACCCCCCCCCCCACTAGGGACTGACAGAGGTTAGTTAGGCAGGAATAGAAACAAAGTCTCTGCCTTTCAGGCCAGTGTCTTTCTGATTTCACAAGGGCGGCAAGGGGCTAGATAACTTTGGGGCCAACAGGTACTGAGCCTCTTTCCTCTCGCTTGTGTACACAAAACCCTACACACACAGCACAAAAGTCTGCGTCAGTCAAGACGCTCTATAGCTTCTTTCATTTCCTGTCTCCCACAACTGCTGGATTCCCCATGCTAGTTTGATGCCAACCATAATTTCATGCAAGGGAGATAAACTAGAATCTCAAGGCCGGAAGGGAAAGGATGGCGGGAGCTGACTTTGCTGACGGGCTAGCCTGACAGACATAATCTGACCCTGCTCGGAATCTACTCGACACAGGACAAAGGTCACTCCGTGGCTGCTGACCTGTGTGTCCTGAGATATCCCGGTACCAAGTCTGTAGCCCTCATCCAGCCAGTCCCTGATGCGGGTAGGGTTTCTTTGATGCTGACAGGAGGGAGGCCAGAGCCAGTAAACACACAAACTAGACAAGCGCACAGGCTCTGTTGGTACCAATCACCAACGTCACATTATAGGCTCGCCTGGCAACTGCTTGATAAGACGCCAATAAAGCTATAAACAAAGGAGCCAGAGTTTCATAAATAGCCCTCTCCACCCTGCACTCATGACCCTTTGATGGGGTGAAGGGTCAGGTAGCTCCAGGGTCTTGGCCTCTACTCTAGCTGAGGATAGATAGGAAAGAGGATAGCCTTAGAACTGCAGGCCACTAAAATCCAACATGTCAGGGATCCCCCTGGGCTGTGAGCAGCGCTGACCTTTCTCCTCTCCTCTCCCCTCCCCTCCTCTACCTTCCTCTCCCCTCCCCTCCTCTCTCTCCTCTCCCCTCCTCTCTCCCCTCCCTCCCTGTCCCTCCCCTCCTCTCCCCTCCCCTCCTCCTTCTCCTCTCCTCTCCTCTCCCCTCCCTCCCTGTCCCTCCCCTCCCCTCCTCTCCCCTCCTCCCCTCCCCTCCGCTCCCTTCCCCTCCCCTCCTCTCCCCTCCTTCCCGCTCTCCATCTTGGCCATGCATGTCCACTCTGGGTTCCTGTCCAGATGGGCAGAGATGAGTCCTTTGCTTGGAAGGGCAGCTCAGGCTTCGCATGGCCACTGGGTCAGGGCCCTTGCTTGCCCAGTTGGGGCCTCAGAGCACTGTTTTTCAGGACCTGAGCTATGAGATGTTAGTTGGGAGTCCCTTCCCGTCTTCCGGGGCCTGGCTTTCCCCAGGATCTAGAGAGATGATGGCCAAGGGCTGTGAACAACCCAACCTTTGGCATGACCTATGCTTGTCCCAACCCTATAGATTGCTGATTTTGGCCTCTCCAACCTGTACCACAAAGGCAAGTTCCTCCAGACGTTCTGTGGGAGCCCTCTCTATGCGTCACCTGAGATCGTCAACGGGAAGCCCTATGTGGGCCCAGAGGTAAGAGCTCTCCCTCCTCCTGCCAGCATCCCCGAGGCCAGGTCAAGCAGGTTGAGCTAGTTGCTAGGTACATCCCTTTTCAGAGCACAGAACTAAGGACCCTACAAGGCGATGGCTTGCCAAGCCTTGAGACAGAAGTACAAAGCTGTCATGGAACTGAGGTCCCCTGGTACCCTGTCTCCTTCGTGTCCTCCTGGCTCCCGGCCCAGCCACCCCACCTTGACCCAGAACGGTGGCGATGGCCCGGGCACCGCCCCTCTCAGGGGAAGCGACTGGCAGCATCTGTCCTTATGAGATCCAGACCGCTCTGCTGCCTCCCCCACGCCACCTCTGGTTACGAGAGGAAGCCTTCAGAGATCTCCTTCACATCGTCCGTTGTGTTGGAGATGCGGATGGCAACCTTCCCCCCTGTGGCACAAGCTGTGCCTTTGCTGAGCACCCGTACCCTCTTTCAGGTAGACAGCTGGTCTCTGGGAGTTCTCCTATACATTCTGGTGCACGGCACCATGCCCTTCGACGGGCAGGATCATAAAACTCTGGCGAAGCAAATTAGCAGCGGGGCTTACCGGGAGCCCCCTAAGCCGTCTGGTGAGTGAGCACCTGGCCAGGTTGGGAGCCTGGGATGCACTGGCACATTCGTTGATTCCTGAGACAGTGACTAGACAATGGTGGTAAGGAAGGCAGCAGTCCATAGTGACTCCCGGGGAAGATTAGGGTGCACCCTACTGTTCTCTCCAGTCGGAGACCTCTGAGGAAGCGGGCAGCCTTCTCCATCATAAGCCTGCTTTAGGAGTGCTGTGGAAGCTCCAGCTTAATCAATCCTCTTTGCTATAGGTGTATTGCCTCTTACTGCCTTTTTCCTTCCCCTAAGAAATCTGACCTTTCGCACATGATCTAGAGAGCAGGAAGATGTATGTGAGAGCCTTGCTGTATCCTTAAGCACAGACCCTGTCCTCAGAGAATTGAATCTGACAAAGAAACAAGCAAGAGCTAGTAGAACTTGTGGGACAGAGGCAGTTGACTGAGTCTGTCTAGGAAAGTCGCCCTTAGGAAGTGGGCCTGAACCTGTGCGGAGCCCAAGGAGAGAATGGGCTGATCTAACCCAGAGTCTGCGCTCATGGGAGACAGGCCTGTGGCAGAGGACCTTGGGTCCCATTCTTGTAAGCTGAAGCCCTCGCCTTCGTTTTTTGCAGATGCGTGTGGCCTGATCCGGTGGCTGTTAATGGTGAACCCCACCCGTCGGGCCACACTGGAGGATGTAGCCAGTCACTGGTGGGTCAATTGGGGATATACCACCAGAGTTGGGGAACAGGAAGCTGTGCGTGAGGGTGGGCACCTTGGTGGCGACTCTGCCCGGGCTTCCATGGCTGACTGGCTACGACGCTCTTCCCGTCCCCTCCTGGAGAACGGGGCCAAGGTGTGCAGCTTCCTCAAACAGCACGTGCCGGGAGGCGGAAGCGTTGTCCCTGGGCTGGAACGGCAGCATTCCCTTAAGAAGTCCCGTAAAGAGAACGACATGGCTCAGACTCTGCAGGGTGACCCAGCTGAGGACGCCGCCCCTCGCCCTGGCAAGAGCAGCCTCAAGCTACCAAAAAGCATTCTCAAGAAAAAGGCCTCTACCTCCTCCTCAGGGATGGTACAGGAGGACCCTCAGGAACTCAGCCCCATGCCGGAAACGCCGGGGCAGCCTGCCCCTCCTGTTGCCCTGCTCCCTAGGAAGGGCATCCTCAAGAAGTCTCGGCAGCGTGAGTCCGGCTACTATTCCTCTCCAGAGCCCAGTGAGTCCGGGGAACTCTTAGATGCTGGCGATGTGTTTGTGAGTGGGGACCCCGTGGAGCAGAAGACTTCCCAAGCTGCAGGGAACCTCCTCCGCCGGAAGGGCATCCTCAAACTCAATGGCAAGTTCTCTAGCACCACGTTAGAAGGCAGCACCCCGAGCACCTTCGGCTCCCTGGACCAACTGGCCTCCCCTCACCCTGCAACCCGGGCCAGCCGCCCCTCAGGGGCTGTGAGTGAGGACAGCATCCTGTCTTCCGAGTCCTTTGACCAGTTGGACTTGCCTGAGCGGCTCCCTGAAACCCCACTGAGGGGCTGTGTGTCTGTGGACAACCTGAGGGGGCTTGAGCAGCCACCCTCAGAAGGCCTGAGGCGATGGTGGCAGGAACCCCTGGGCGATAGCTGCTTTTCTCTGACAGACTGCCAGGAGGTGACAGCAGCCTACCGGCAAGCCCTGAGAATCTGTTCAGAGCTCAGCTGAAGATGAGAGGTGGTGCCCTGGTTTGGGGTGGGCTTTGAGGGGTCTGCAGGTACCCTAGATAGGATTCCTGGGAAATCTGGGGGAGTAAAGCCCATCCAGGGCTCCCTGTCTTCAGCCTGATGGAGCAGGAAGATGAGGAGGGAAATGGTAACCCTGTGGGGGAGGGGGCCACGGAATCCAGACTGCCAGAATGTTGTAGTATAGTATGGCCACCTGGGACCTGAAGAGCCCTGTCTGTGCCTACCTCCTCCATGCCATGAGTATTACCCGTGGTGCGTTTTCCTACCTGTTCTCTGCCAGTGTCAGGGTGGATCTTCACACCAGTTCCTGTTCCCACCGACCACCAGAGTTAGAACCCTGGCATGCCTGGGTAGTCTGGGGTAACCTTTCCTCCCTTGTTGGAAGAGGAAGCAGCCTCTGGCTCCCATTTGCCCTAGTCCGTCGCTGCTGCGGTCTCAGAGACCTGAAAGGACTCTCGGGCTGCTGTTTGGTTTCATCTCAAGGGTTCAGATCTGGGCCCCATCTTAAACCTCAAAGACTGGAGCTTCTGCCTTGAAGCTGCTCCTGATGTCTGGACTGTGGATGGATGTGTCTTTCTCAGGCTAACGGGACCTAGAATGTGCTGACTTATTTATTTTTTTTTTGGTTCTCTTTTTTGTTGTTTTGTTTTGTGAATTGTGCTGCTTTGGGCCATGTGAATGCTGTGTTCCCCGGAAAGCCACTGTGCCACTGACATTTATGTACAGAAGTATTTGACAATAATGTCCCTCTACTGGGTGTGGAGGGGCGGGGCTGGCTTTTTCAAACTTAGGTCCCGAGCACTGGATTGGCTGTCCAGTCCCTTCACACCCGAAGCTGCCCACCCTCCCCGAATCTGTGGCCAAATGAACCTCATTCCATTAAAACCAGCATGGTGACTGGAAAAACAATCTCTGGTTCTCTTTGTGAGATGCGGTTCACACACCTTTCAGCCTTCTGATACTTTCCTCTTGGGCTGCTGCAGCTTCGACACAGACTCTGATAGTCAAAATAGGGACAAAGGAGTTTGGAGGCTGGGTGGTCTGCATTTTGTTTAACATGTACTCTCAATCCCTAGCAAAAGAATTAAAACAAAACAGAAAAACCCTCTCCAAAGCACCTGGTCCACCTGCAGCAGCAGCCACAAGGGCCTGCCTCTGCTAAGCATTCCGGAGGAGAAGCTTTGGCCCAGGGTTGGGGCTTTTCTTTCCTTCCCTAGTACTCAAAGAAGAAATGGGTCAGGTGCGTTTGCGGGGCTGCCCCCCTCCAGCTGCTGGCCTGTGCCCTGCCCCCTGCTGCCTGAAGACTCTCCCACAGTTCCTGTTCCCTCTGAAGAAATCCCCCTTTCTCCAGTGCTGGACAGCTTCTTGTTGGGCCCTTGCTCTGCTCCGGACTCTGGAGGAAGTGAAGAATGCTTGGAATGTCCACCCTCCCAGGACAGCCCCTCAGCCCCCCGCAGAGCTGTCCCAGCAGCCTGTTCTACCATTGAGAAACTGCTCGACTCTGGGACTGGTTGACAGGGAGGACAGAGGACAAAGTGCAGGCAAGCGGCTGGTTGGCTTCGGTTCCAGGCTGCCAGGCTGGCTCTCTCCCCACCCCCACTCCTGACCCACTCGGGTATTCACCCCCTAATCTCCTGGTTCTGGCTGGCTCCAGGTTTCCAGCTAGACAACCCACCTGTCCTCCCAGTGTGGGGGGGCATTTGCCAGATGAAGACTCTGGCCTCCTTCATACCTAGAGAGCCACTATGGGGTTAAGATAGGACACACACACACACACACACTGCTTGAGTGACAGCAGATGTGCCTGAGGTCCCAGGACTGGGCTAGGCTTGAGTAAACACCAGAAAAACACCGGCTAGGCCCTCACCCCAAGAAGGGGACGCCCCGCTGTGCTGGTTGTTTGTGTCCCTTTGGGCCCCCGCAGTGAGTCCTGGGCGTGCTGAAGTGTGGCAGACAACTTGTGGTCAGGCTGGAGGCAGGCAGTACGTGGAGAATTAAGCCCTGGTGAGAAGTTTGGATGAAAGACGTGTACCCTGGGAGACATTAGAGGCTACCGCTTATCTTGATTTTATTTATTTGGTTTATTTATTTGGGATCAAACTTGGAGCTATGTTAGGCAAACATTGTGTCACTGAGCTGCTAACCCCAATTCTTGTTTATTCACGATAAGGTCTCAGCATGACTCCTTACCCTCCTGGGCCAGCACCAGCATCTCAGGCCTATAGTACCTGCCTGGGTCAGGTACTTCATGCAGAGAGCCCGGTTCCATGCTCACAACAGCTTTGCTACATTCTTGTGAGTCTGGTGTTATTTATTCTCATTTTGAGAAGAAACAGACATTTGATAACGTTAATATACATTGTGGGAACCCAGACTTCAAACTCAGATCTGTGAAAAGTCACACAGTGGGGGACAGGGAGCCAGAGTGGCCGAATGAATAGGAGTGGACGGGGCTATGCGCACCAGGGAACATCTGTTACATGCTATGTATGCTTTAGACCAGGCGCAAGAGCTGAAGAAATTTCCTCTCCTGGAAGTGCCCCCCCCCTGGTCTCCACAAGGCCCAAGAAGGCAATGGGGAAAGATGCGGGCGGGGGAGGGGCACACGGGAAGGGGGGTCCACTGAGAGGACTGTAGCTATTAGGAAATCTAGGTGTGGGCTGAGGGCCGGGGGGACCCAGCACCTTACTGTCTGGGTAGGAGCTGGGCCTGGTGGGCTTCTGGGGTAGTGGGGAGCTCTAATTCCTGGGGAGCTAGGATGAGGGGGTGAATGTGGGGAGGCCCCCCAAAAAACCTAGACTTGGGCTGTGGATTCTATCAACACAGACCTTGCCTTCACCTGCCAGGACACTTCATACCAAAAGCATTCCAGAAAGCAGGCTCAGCGATGACGCTGGGGCCCCAGGGGACAAGGCTGGAGCTGTAGGAATATTTAGTGCCACATCAGTGCTTGTGGAATGTGAACAACCTAGACAAAGAAGGGGGAGGAGAGGCCCTAGGAGATCACAAAGGCCTTCGGGATGCTCCCTGTCCCTGGCCTTTTCCTGAGGCACGGGCAGGATCGTGATGTTCCTGAGTGGACACCCCCTCGTGGGGCAGGGCCGTGGGAGGGAAACTCCCATGACACACATGACCCTTCAGTCTCCCTCTGTCCTGTCCAGCTAGCTGCCTTGGGCCCTGTCAAAGCGGGGAAGTCGAGGGGAGACAGTAGAGATAGATGTGTGGGAAGCGGCAGCCCCGGCTCCCCCAGAAGAACACAAACAGGCTTTGGCTCCGGGAGGGGAGAATCTGTACTCTATCAGCAGTCTTGTTCGCTGAGGAACAAGACGGGTCAAGGACAGAGATTTGGCCGAGTGACACGAGCAATTCTTAAAGCTGCAGAGGGGAAGGGCTGGGAACCACGTAATAGACGGCAGGCTGGCTTTTCTGGGAGTGAGAATGGAGGTACAGACCAAGATGGGGGGGGGGGTAGGGGAGGGGGAGGGGCAGAGGCCAAAGCCAGCCGCTGAGACTCCCAAGTGCAAGGGTTAGCCCGCTAATCCCTTCCCTAGTGTGTCCCATTCACTCGGCCAATCAAGTGACTAGCAAGTAGGTATCGGAACTGGGGCATGTAACGCTTGCCTGGTATGGGCAAGACCCTAGGTTCCATCTCCAGGACCTCAACACTCCCCCTCCCCCACCACACACACACACACACACACACACACACACACACACACGCCTTTCAATACTAAGGGCCTTAGGCTAGCCTGGTACACAGAGCAATCCTCTGCCATGCCCAGCATTAGGGATACATTTATGAACAAAACTGACAACGGTGCGTGCCCTCGTGGAACTACATCCCAGAATAAGGAGTGAAGCTGCAGCAAAGCGAATAAAAGACTAGCAGGAAGAGGGGTCAAGAGAAGCCACACTCGGGAAAGCTGTGGGCCATCCTGAGGCTGTGGCTCTTATTCTCGGGGAAACAGAGAGTCTCTGGGAGATGCTGAGCAAACGGTCAAGTGACCTAACAGACTTTTTGTTTTCCTCCGAGAGTCTTTCTAGCAGGGGAGATGACTTAGCAAGTAAAGGTGCTTGCCACTGAGCCAGACTGCCCGAGTAGGACCCCCCCAGTGTCCACATGGTAGAAAGGAGAGAAATGACTCTCTCTCTCTCACACACACACACACAGACACACACACACACACACCAATAAAAATAGAGTCTAGCTGCTCGCTGAGGGCAGCAGTGGCAGGCTTGATGGGGAGGGACCTAGCCGGAGGCCAGTTTTGAGAAGGGACGTTGGGGCTTGGACTGCAGTTGCAGCAGCCAAGGAATGGGAAGCTCCCAGATTTAGGGGCATGTTATTTCCTAACAGAAGACATTCAGATGTGAAAGAGAAGAACTAAGAGTAAGGGCAGACTGTCCATTAGCTTGGGCAGGGAAGGCTTGCAAGGGTGGAGGATAAGCTGGGGCTGGAGTCCCCAGGGGGGCCTGAGGTGGGGTGGGGCGTGCGGACCGCTCAGTGCAGGGGGTAAGAACATAGGCAGATCTTTCCAAAGACAGCTGCCTCCCAAGCTTGCCTGCTGTGATTTGGGGGGGGGGGCAGTGAAAGGCTGAAGACAGTCAGCACCAGCATTCTGATAAACCTTGGTAGGCTCCCTCTCTCTCTCTCTGAAGGATGGGAGGACTTCACACCCAGGCCTGAAGCCTCATGATTTCAAAGGCTTTCACCGTTTCCCTCAGAATTATAGGAATGTCGCTCCGGCGCTCACTGCCTGGTCTTAGTCCCCACAGTGGGGTCAGGTATTACCGTACAGAAGCTGGGAATGAATAATTTCCGGTCGTCTTTGGTCACCTCTGTACTCAGAATTCTCTGGTTCAGGCCCCTGGGGAGGCCGCTCACAGTCTGCTGCCCAGAAAGGGCTGGAAAAGGGGCACGACTCTGGCCCACTGACAAGCTTGACAAGCGCTCAGTCGATAGCCTCTGGAGGGACTGGGACCACAGTACAGGTCGCTGGGGACACAAGCTTTCTCTAGCTCCTTTTGGACCTGAACACCTCCTTAATCTTCCTTCTCCAGCATCCTGCTCCCTTCCTGGGCTGTCCCCACCTCAAAATTCTCCCCATCCTGTCTGAGGCATTCAGGACCAGCTGGGAGAATGAGTCTTCTTAATGGGGGAGGGGGCTTCTAGTCCATAAATGGACGCCACAGTCTCGGCTCTCTGTTCTCTCCCTGTCAGGGATTTCCTGGGAAGAGGAAAGAGGCCGCTGGCTTTGACCGTATGAGATTCTAGAAATAGTTGGGTATTTCAGAAGATAGCCAGGTCTTCTGACTCAGCTTCCCTTGTAAACACATGAGCAGCTAGCTAGCCAGGGTTTTCCCAGCTCCAGAGACTAAGCCTCCGTTTCCTGAGGGATGTGCTCAATTGTATATGTCTGCAGAGGTCAGGAGCCAGCCAGCAGAACCCCCAGCCCTCCCTCCCACCTCCTCTCTGCCTTGACTGCGCTGCCCTGGACTCTGGGCTGTGTGTGGGTGCTCAACTCCTGGAGCAGAGCTGACCACACAAACTCCCATCAGACGGATGGAAGGGGCAGGCATCCTTCAAAGCTCCCGGTCTGGAGTCCGAACTTGGGCTCAGGCTGGGACTTGTGGCTGCCATTGCTCTCGTCACTGTCACTGCTTGGGTAGTCCGGCCACTGCCAGGAGCCCCTCCTTGAAAAGGGACTCCCAGCATGCTCCACCTCCCACCCTGGCCCAGTCCTCTGGAAGATGCAAGGTGGTACTTAGGAGGAGCTGGCTTTGCATCATGTCTGGGAATCACCTTGAAACCCAGCTTGCCCACAGGCCTTGGAGACAGACTTGGGCCCACACAAAACTCCAGGTCATGGGTAGATGGAAACCGGAAGCCAAACCAACCAGATACTTGA